TTTTCGGGCACTATGTCGGCAACTACACCTTGTTGTGCGGGAGTGAACAGCGCGTCACCGTCACCTTACTATAGTGTGACCGGGAAAAGGAGGAATGAAAATCCAATGTGGTACTCTGGAGACCCGGGCCTTAGGCTTTGCAGAAACCATGGGCAAGAGTCACACACGCCTCTCTGACCAGCAGTTATCTCCTGAAGGTCCCTTGCTCAAATATTCCTTGATGTCCCCATCTGCTCCACTCCTCCAATCTAATGGTCTCAGGGCCTCTGGCTTAGTAATGATGGTGTCAAGGATCTAGCAGCTGTCAGAATGTTGCGTCCTCAGCCTAGACTTTATGGGCAACTTCAAATGAAGAGGATAGACTGTCCTCTCTGTCCAGAGGTACTGGGCAGGTGCTGGTGGGAAAGCATTAGGGCTTTACAGTATCACCGTGTGCGTGGTGACACATGACTGTAATCCCAGCCACTCAAGGTTGAGGCTGGTGGGTCCCAAGTCAGAGACCAATCTGGGCAATTTAGCAAGGCCCTGTCTCAAAAACAAACAAACAAACAAAAGACCCGGCCTGGGTTGTAGCTCAGCGGTTGAAACTAGCGCCCCTAGTTTCAATCCCCACCAGCGAAATAAATAAATAAAACAAACATATAAATAATAAATATCCCAGGATAGGAGATTTTTAAAGTGTGGCTACTTCTAGGGCTGGGATTGTGGCTCAGTGGTGGAGCGCCCGCCTAGAGCATGCGAGGCCCTGGGTTCCATCCTCAGCACCACATATAAATAAATAAATTAAAACAAAGGTATTGTGTACAACTAAAATAAATAAATATTTTTTTAAAAAATGTGGCTACTTCTAGCAGGGCGCCCTGGTGCACGACTTTAATCCCAGTAAAGGATGGCAATTTCGAGGCCAGCCTGGGCAATTTAGCAAGATTCTGTCTCAAAATTAAAAAGGGCTGGGTACCAGGCGCCATGGGTACTACTGTAATCCCAGCGATTGAGGCTGAGGCAGCAGGATCTCAAGTTCCAAGGCCAGCCTTGGCAATTAAGCAAGACCTTGTCTAAAATTTTAAAAAAGGGGTGGTGGTGTGGCTAGGGATGTAGCTCACCAGCTGAGTGTCCATGAATTTAATCCCCAATGCCATGGAAAATAAATTAAATTAAAACATGGCTACTTCTGAAGAAATCTCAGAATATTTCAGTTTCCAGACATGCAGAGGAAAGGACTATAAACTGTGAGTTGGTGTTTTCCTGCCTCCAGTCTGACTCCAGCAGCAATGTGGTTGACAGCATTTTCAGAGAAGTATCCTCCCATTTCCTTCACCCACCACACCAAGCACTTCCATTTTGTTCTTGAATCAAACCTCCAAACAGACCCAACCAGAATTATAGAGAGTTCCTCTATCCAGCATTCTTGTGATAGAGACAAGCATCTTAGCTTGAGATCACACCTCTACTCTACCCATTCTCACAAGTCATATTAAAAAAAAAAAGTATTAATCCACCACAAAATGATGACAATAAGCCAACTACTGGTGGGTATTTTTTTGGGGGGGAGGGTGCTGGGGTTTTACCCAGGGCTTTGCTCATGCTAAGCACATACTTTACTACTGAACTATAGGTGCCAAAGCCCTAATATTTTCATTTTTTTGTGAAAAATAACTTTATTTACCAAATAAAAAATCTGTAGTGAGAATAAATGACATTGATTTGCATTTTTTCACATCTCTGTAGTATCTAGGTTAATAGAAGAAAGCTAGATTTTCACATCTGTTTCTGTTTTCATCTATTATGATATATTGTTTGTTTTTGTTTGTTTTGGTACCAAGGATTGAACTCAGGGGCACTCAGCCACTGAGCCACATGCCCAGCTCTATTTTCTTTTATTTAGAGACTCATTGATTGGTTTACACCTCAATGATAGGTGCTGAAGCTAGCTTTGAACTCGGGATCCTCCTGCCTCAGCCTCCCAAGCCTCTAGGATTATTGGTGGGTACCACCACACCCTGCTGATGTAGTGTTTTGATGTGAGTACATGAAGAAAATCTGATCTCACAGATATGTAACTGAAGAGGATCCCATCAATCTTTTGGAATTGTCTTTCAGGACTGACTCAGAAGTGGCACACCTATAATCTCAGTGAATTGGAAGGATGAGTCAGGAGGATCACAAATTGGAGGCAGGCTGGGAAATTTAGCCAGACTGTGTCAAAATAAAAAAGAAGTGGCTGGTTTTGTGGCTCAGTGGTAGAGTGATTGCCTAGCACATCTGATTTTCACCAACAGTTAAAAAGAAAGAAAGAAAGAAAGAAAGAAAGAAAGAAAGAAAGAAAGAGAGAAAGAGAGAAAGAGAGAAAGATAGATTGGGGGAAGAATGGTTTGTTTATCTATCATCTATCTATCTATCTATCTATCTATTTATTTATGTGGTGCTGGGGATTGAACCCAGGGCCTTGTGCATGTGATCTTTATTTTATTTATTTATAGGTGATACTCAGAATCGAGCCCAATGCCTCACACATGCAAGCCAAGTGTGCTACCACTGAGCCACAGTCCCAGCCCATCGCCAGCTCTATTTTATATTTTATTTAAAGACAGGGTCTCACTGAGTTTGTTTAGCGTCTTGCCATTGCTGAGGCTGGCTTTGAGCTCATGATTCTCCTGCCTCAGCCTCCTGAGTGGATGGGATTACCTGGGATTACTGTCATTCGCTACTGCATCAGGCTTTTTTTTTTTCTTTTACATACATGACAATAGTGGAATGCATTACAATCATAATTATGCATTCACAACACCATTTTCATAACTTTTTAAATATATATTTAATATATATATATTTTTTAATATATATATATATATATTTAGTTGTCAATGGACATTAATTTTATTTATTTATTTATATGTGGTGTTGAGAATCAAACCCAGTACCCGACATGTGCCATTGAGCCACAGCCTCATCCCTCCCCAGGCCTTTTATTTTTTAATTGTTTATTTTTTATTTTGAGACAAGTCCTCTTTAAATTGCTGAGGTTGGCCTTTAACTTGTGATCTGCCTATCTCAGACTCCCCAGTTGTTGTTATTACAGGCTTTTGCCACCACATCCAGCTACCAAGCTGCCTTGGTCTTTTTGGTGATCAGTCTCCACCCTGAAGCTACCCTAGGGGCCCCTAATCACCATTTATGTCATTAGCATATAAAAGGTCAATCTTTACTCCAAAGATTCAAAGCATCTTAGAAGTCCAAATAAATCAAACTAATAAAAATGTGGCAGAGGGCTGGGGATGTGGCTCAAGCGGTAGCGCGCTCGCCTGGCATGCGTGCGGCCCGGGTTCGATCCTCAGCACCACGTACAAACAAAGATGTTGTGTCCGCCGATAACTAAAAAATAAATATATATAATACTCTCTCTCTCTCTCTCTCTCTCTCTCTCTCTCTCTCTCTCTCTCCTCTCTCCTCTCTCACTCTGTCTTTAAAAAAAAATGCGGCAGATTAGTGCTGATGAAGAAGATATTAGAACAACCAGAATTCTAACACATAAATTATATAATATACCACACAGATACAATAAATGCAAGAACACTGATAATTGAATAGGGCAGTGTCAGTAAGCCTATCATATCAGCAACTCAGGAGGTTGAGGTAGGAGGTTTGCAATTTTGATGTTAGTTGAGGCATTTGAAGACACACTGTCTCAAAATTAATTTCATGGGCTGGGGTTGTGGCTGAGCAGTAGAGCGCTCGTCTAGCATAAGTGAAGCCCTGGGTTTGATCCTCAGCACCATATAAAAATAAATAAATAAAATAAAGGTATTATGTCCAACTACAACTAAATTTTTTTTTTAAATTTAAAAAATTTAAAAACAAAATTATCTGACGATGTATCTTAAAAGTAAAACCCTACTGGGTTTGATTTCTAGCACAACAAACAAAAACCGAAAGAAAAAACCCACACTTACAATAGTAAGTAGGTAAAGTAACTAGGAAGTGATCAGTTTTGAGTATATATTTCCTTTCTCCCTCCCCACCCCCTTCTCCCCCTACCCCCTCTCTCTTCTTGGGACTGGGGAATGAACTCAGGGTGCTTTACCACTGAGCTACATTTCCAATGCTTTTTATTTTTATTATTTTTGGAGGCGGGTACCAGGGATAGAACTCAGGGGCACTCGACCACTGAGCCACATCCCCTGCCCTATTTGTATTTTTATTATTTGTATTTTTTATTTTAAGATAGATTCTCCCTACCTTGCTGAATTACTCGCTAAATTGTCTAGGCTGGCCTAGCACTTGCCATCCTCCTGCCTCAGTCTTCTGAGTTAAGATAAAAGGCGCGCACTACCATGCCGGGCAAATGATTTCCTTTTGAATAATGGCTGTGTTTAAAGAACAGCTTGCTTAATTCCTGAAATTTTAGGGAGTGGTTATTGCTACCCAGGACTAGCCAGCTCCAGCACATTGAACGTCAGCAGATTAGGTCCTTGCAGGGAGGCTGGCCTGGAAAGGGGGAGAGGTGGGAGAAAGCGCCGAGTTGAGAGGGTACAGATAAGGGATTCTCAGTTCTGTAGCATCCCCCCACAACCCAGCCCCACTCTAGTGTGTGCGCCCGCGCGTCCCAGGAGTACAATAATAAGGTTTCCTCTCCAGGGAGCAAGTCATGTAGTGAGTGCTCAGTAAATGTTTGTTGAAGGAATGATTGAATGCATAAATATTCGGAATGCCTGAATTTGCAAGCACCTTGAATTTGAATTCAAGTCCTGAGTGACTACAACCCTTGGGTGCATTAAAGTCTTTAATTATGTTATTTTCACTAATAAAGCCTATTAAAAGTGTTTACTGAGCATTTACGCATATGTAACAACGAATCCCACCATTATAATGCACCAATAAAAATATGGGGGGAAAAGTATTTACTGAGCATCTACTACAGGCTACTTTGGATCTGAGTTTTGACAGTCCGCCGTGGGGCGGGGCTTCAGGGACAGAGCTTAACGAGTCCCCGCCCACTACAGCGAGGTCCAATCAGATCGGCGCAGGGACCCGGAAGCGAGGTTGTGGTTGTAGCGTGCGCTTCCGGAGGAGACAGATCAGTTGTTGTCCCAGGTGTGGACGCCTCAGTCCAACCTCCTCCGTAAAGATGTTCTACCACGTGAGTAGGCGCCGGTTGGCGACGAGGGTTGGGTCTCGGGGTGCAGCGAGGCTGGGTGCCTCTTCTCGCCCCTTGCCCTCGCCGCTCCTGGCCCGGTCTCCATTCTCCTTTCCCTGCAGATCTCCCTGGAGCACGAGATCCTGCTGCACCCGCGCTACTTCGGCCCCAACTTGCTCAATACCGTGAAGCAGAAGCTTTTCACCGAGGTGGAGGGAACCTGCACCGGAAAGTAAGTTTGCTCCCATCGCGCTGTAAGGTCTTTGCGCACACAGTGCCCCATGCCAACAACTCTCTACCTAATTCCTACTCATCTTGTAAGGCCGTGCAACCCACTCTGGGGAGCCCTCTCACCCTCCCAGGCGCCCAGGCAGCCAGTTGCTTCCTTCCCAATGCGTCCTCTGCAAAGTTGGATAATGAGACTTCCCTCAGTCGAGATTGGACATTTCCTTTAGTCTGCAAACACTTTAAAAGCTCCTGTTGTGTGTCGGGGCATATGTTGGATCCTGCAAACATGCAATGAAAACAGTCCTCGTAGAGCTCAGAGTTTAATCATTGTTCCTGTGTGTGCTGTCCTGTGATTCTGCTGGGTTTCTCTATACCCTGTGCCCAGGGACCTGGCATGGCACATCATGGGCCTCAGTGTTTCCTGAATGAATGATCTGAAAAAGCACAACGAGAGTTTATGAGAAGGCATAGGATTGAGACTTGAATTCTTTGAGTTTTGCACAGAAGGGTCTCCCACAGACCATTATGAATGGGCTGGGATTCAGTCCAGGATAGTAGAGTCTGGGCTTCCAGCATCAGAATATCAGAACAACCTAGCGCTGTTCCTTTTATGTTTAGTTTTGGGGGCTTTTGGTATGGGGATTGAACCGCGGGGTGCTTAACACTGAGCCACATCCTTGGCTCTTGGTTTTTTTTTTTTTTTTAATTTGGAGACAGGGTCTCACTATGTTGTGGGAACTGGCTTTGATCTTGCAATCTTCCCCCTGAGGGCCTCTTTGATTAGATTGGCCTGAATTTGTGATCCTCCTGCCTCAGGCTTCTGTGTGTCTGGGATTTCCACCGTGCCTAGCAGGCTGTTCTTTTTAAAATTTTTAAAGATTTATTTTCTTAACAAGTTTGTTTTTCTTTTCTTGCTTTCTTTTTGCCATACTGGGGATTGATTCCAGGGGTCTTTTATCACTGAGCAACATAGCTGGGGCAGTTTGTTTGTTTAGTACTGGGGATTAACTTGGGTGCTTAACTACTGAGTCATACCTAGACCTTTTTAGATTTTATTATGTTATTATTATTTTGGTACCAGGGATTGAAACCAGGGCTCTTAACACTGAGCAACATCCCCAGCCCTTTTCTGTATTTTATTTAGAGACATGGTCTCACTGAGTTGCTGAGGATGGCTTTGAACCCATGCCTCAGCCTTCCAAGCTTCTGGGGATTATAGGCATTCACCACTGCACCCAGTTTCTGGGGCAGTTCTTGATCATGCAGGTTCTTGAGCTGCTTTTTTCCCTATAGAATCAGGACTGCTTGAGAGCCTTCAGGAGAATCTTCATTTTTTTTTTTTTTTTTTTTAACTTCTCAGTAAAATGAAGGGTCAAAAAAAGACACAGAGCTGGGCATGGTGGCACATACCTATAATCCCAGCTACTCTGGAAGCTGAGACAGGAGTATCATAAGTTCAAGGCCAGCCTTAGCAACTTAGTGAGACTCTCAAAATAAAAACCAGTATACTTTATTTTCTGATGTTTTATTCTGCACACCAGATAAGGAAAATGATGACCTGAAATATGTCGAGAACAGTAATTAAGGACTCTACAAAAATTTCCCCAGTTGTACAAGTACAGATACCTTGATTTAGAGAATTTTTCATAATAATTCCCGAGAATCTTCATACAAAAAGTTCCTCCCAGGTGATTCTGAGGCATAACAAAGATTCAGGTCCATTAACTCAGTGCTGCTTTCTTTTTGGACATTTGTTGTAAAATTTTGAAAGCAGCATTTGAGCTTACAAATATTTATCTGTGTCCTTTCTTTTGGTCATTAAACTCTGAGAGTCAGAGGTGACATCTTTCCCCCTCCTCCCCTCAGGCTCAGTGACTGTTGCTGCAGATGGCTTTAGAGGCTCTTGTAATATAGTGCCTTTCTCTTTTTGTCTTCCTTATAGGTATGGCTTTGTAATTGCTGTCACCACCATCGACAACATTGGTGCTGGTGTAATCCAGCCAGGCCGGGGCTTTGTTCTTTATCCAGTTAAGTACAAGGCCATTGTTTTCCGGCCTTTTAAAGGCGAGGTTGTGGATGCTGTGGTCACTCAGGTCAATAAGGTAAGAACATTCATAGGAGGCCATGGTGTGGGTCCTCATTCCACTTACTAACTCTGTACCTTAGTCAAGTCACTTCTTTGTACCTGTCAAAATACTCAAGGGCATGTGAGTCAATGTGAATAATTACAACAGGAGCCTACATTGACTAAGTAGTTACTGTGGACCAAGTATTGTTCAAAGCCCCACAGTGACTGTGTTTCTATCTCTGTTTACAGACACTGAAGCTTAGAGAAATGTACTGGCCAAGACTCTGTGGCCAACAAGGGTTTATATCTTGGGCTAATAAGTCCTAGGTTTAAATTCTTTATAATTACACTATATTTGCTTAATTTAAATGAAAGGTGGTTCTGGGCCTTTCATTTCATTACAGGCCTGTAATCCAGCAATTTAGGAGGTTCAGGTAGGAAGATAGCAAGTTTGAGGTCAACCTCAGCAACTTAGTGAGACAGGGTGGTGTAGGGGATGTAGTTCACTGGTACAGTATTTGTCTAGCATACATGAGGCCCTGGGTTTAATCCCCCACACGGGAAGGGGAAAAACAGTAAAATGAAGGGTCAAAAAAAGACACAGAGCTGGGCATGGTGGCACATACCTATAATCCCAGCTACTCTGGAAGCTGAGATAGGAGTATCATAAGTTCAAGGCCAGACTTAGTAACTTAGTGAGATTCTCAAAATAAAAACTAAATGGGGATATAGCTTAGTGGTAAAGTGCCTGTGGGTTCAATACCGGAATCAATTAAAAAAAAAAAAGCAAATGTTGCAGTTCAGACTGGATACAGATAAAAATGGTGGTCTTGTCAGAGCAATTTTAGAGGAGGAAAAGTTTATTTGGCCCTTGTGGTTTTAGAGATCTCAGTTCACAGACAGCCACCTCTGTTGCTCTGGGCCCGGATAAAGCAGAACACAATGGCAGAAGGGAGTAGAGGAGGAAAGCAGTTCAGGAGAAGGCAATCTGGAAGCTGAGTTTCACTCAACAGGGAAAATATAGAAACCCCCAAAGCATATTCCCAGTAGCCTACCTCCTTCAACCACATCCTATCTGCCTACCCTGTTTGTCCATTCAAGTGGAATAACATACTGATTAGGTTAAAGCTTACAGCCCAATCATTGCACCTAATGATTGTCTAATGTGAGCTTTTGGGGACAACCTAAAACTTAAGGATTTGAGAGGAAAAGAGAAAGTATGATTATTCATTTTCCTCCTAGGTTGGACTCTTCACAGAAATTGGGCCCATGTCTTGCTTCATTTCTCGACATGTAAGTCTAGACACGTTGGGCGGGGCTAAGGAAGAGACACCCAATCATGACCATCTACTGAAACATTCAATACAGCTGGGTGTGGTGGCATGTGCCTGTAATCCCAGGGACTCAGGAGGCTGAGATAGGAGGATTGCAAATTTGAGGTCAGCCTCAGCAACTTAGTAAGAGCCTGTCTCAAAATAAAAAGGCCTTGGGAAGTAGCTCAGGGGTAAAGCTTCCCTGGGTTTAATCCCCAAGAGTTTAAAGAAAAAAAAATGCTGACCCGGCCTGGCTCTGTGGTATGTGTATGCAATCCCAGCTACTAGGGAGGCTGAGTCAGGATGGCAATTTGAAGCCAGCTTGGGCAATTTAGCAAGACCCTATGTCAAAAAGCATTGCCGAGGTGGGGGGAGGGGATATGATTGTCTATTCACAGGCTGGGGGGTATGGCTTAGTGGTAGAGCACTTGTCTAGCATATGTGAGGCCTTGGATTTGATCCCCAGCACCACAAAAATAAATAAGCAAAGTGCTGACAAGTATCACTTTTCCTTTCAGTCCATCCCGTCAGAGATGGAATTTGATCCTAATTCTAACCCACCATGTTACAAGACAATGGATGAGGTGAGTGGGTAGGAGGAAGGCAGTGGGGGGAATAGGCCAGGCTGAAGGAAGAGGATTTCCCTGGGAATGTCTGAGTGCACTGTTGTCTCCCCTTCTTAGGACATTGTGATTCAGCAGGAGGATGACATCCGCTTGAAGATTGTGGGGACCCGCGTGGACAAGAATGACATTGTGAGTCTCTTGCCTACCATAGCCATACCAGGCAGAACTGAGTGCTGTGGACTTCTTTACCATTCACAGTTCTGGGGGAGGGGGTGGGGTTCTGTGGTGTTCTGGGTGGCAGAAGACCTGGGGCTTGTGGGGTAGAGGAGGTTCTGCTCTTGCCTTGTCCTGGTTTCATGTTTATTTTCTTTCCTACAGTTTGCCATTGGCTCCCTGATGGATGATTACTTGGGTGAGTGCCTGATTTGTGGTGACCTGGAGAATGGGTGTGTAGGAGAGGGAAGTGGGTGTAGGATTTAATGCCTGGGACAGAGACATTAGAAATTTTTATTCTGTCTGCTTGGAAGATCTAGGACCTGTGCCCTTGGGATGGGAAGTAGGTGGTTGTGGCTGCCTCTGAGCTCTGGGTGTAACTGATGTACCTTTCCTGTTTTCACAGGGCTTGTGAGCTGAGCATGGGAGCCTCCTACCATGTGTGATCTTGATCTATAAAATGTTGCTTTAATACTTGCCGAGTTGTCTAGAGACTCCCTCTGACTGTTGTTCGGGGAAGCAAGGAAGATTCTTTGTCCCTGAAGACATCTGGTGCTTCTTCCAGTTTAGCTGTTGCTTGACTCTGTGTTCTAACTATAAAAGGTCATTTGTTCTCATGCAAGTGTCATGTTCTTTTTTGGTTTTGTTTTATTTTATTTTTTGGTGCTGGGAATTGAACCCAGGGCCCTGTGCATGCAAGGCAAACACTCTACCAATTGAGCTATATTACCAGCTCTCATATTCTTTTTTGGGTAGGAGCAACACTCTTTTATAAAAAGGTCATTAGCCACTCACTGGACCTTTTCCTTGGCCTGATGTTGCAACTGTCCTTGGCCACACATGGGGATTTAACAAACCCTTTTGCTAAGGTCTGAAGTTAACCTCATTGTAGGCAAACTGATATTGGATCATTGACTTCCAGTAAATGAAAACCATCATCACAGCCATTCTGAGTCCTAATCTAGTATCAGAGTATTTGCCTTTCCCATGACCTTAAACTCCAAGAGTATAAGAGGGAAAGGGGGGAAGAAACAACAGATTAGGAGAAATGAACCAGAGAAGAGTAATAGCGCAGATTACAGAGTCCCAACACATCCCTTTTATTTTTTGTGGTACTGGGGAATTGAAATGGGAACTGTACCACTGAGCTATATCACCAGCCCTTTTATTTATTTATTTTTATTAAATATTTTAGTTGTTGATGGAACTATTATTTATATGCAATGCTAAGACTTGAACCCAGTGTTTCACACATGCTACGCAAAAGAGTTTATAATCAGGGTCACAAAAAATACATGAAATGCCTACAAGATTAAACAAACATGATGGGCTGTGGTTGTGGCTCAGTGGTAGAGCACTTGCCCAGCATATGTGAGGACTTGGGTTCGATCCTCAGCACCACATAAAAATTAATTAATTAATTAAAGGTATTGTGTCCATCTACAATTTAAAACAAACCACAAGACTATTTCTCCACATCGAAGTACCCTTTTCTAGCTTGCATATTTGCTTCTGACTAATCTGTCAAATCTGGGTTCAGTTATGCCCCCGTTAAGTTTCATGCCTGAGTCAGACATGAGAAACTGTAATTCTGTCAGGAAGACATA